CTCCAGGCATCCACCCTAACAGCTCAGGATCTCTGGACATCTACCCCAGCAGCTCAGTAGCCCCTGTAAAATGCACATGCCTGCTAACCAAGAGCTCTAGAAAAAGTCTTGTGAAAAAATCCTGTTGTCTCACCTTGAGTCCAAGCTGACAGCCCAATAGGCTAGGGCTGGTCATATGTTGTCAGCTGCACACACCGCCCAGACAATGAGGTAGAGAGGGGTCATTGTGGTGGAAAATTATATAGGTGCTGTGTCATAGAATAGAAGACATGAGTGATGGAGAAGACGAGCAGTGGTTTGCTCTGCCACCATCTTATTCTCTTGGAATGCGAGACCCTTAAGTTCTTTGTGGAAACAGAAGCAACAGAACACAGAGCAACAAAAATGTGCTACCAAGACTAGTGCACATGACCATGGAGAAGTCCTATAATATTTCATCTATGAGCTGAAGAACCAGTGGTGGGGTTCCGTGAGTGTGGAGTTCTGAGAAGCAGGGGAGCCAATGGTGTCATTCTCAGACTGAGGCCCAAGAACTCAGAGACCACTGAGGTAAATCCTCGAGTGTGAAACCGTGACAACTGAGAGCTTTGAGGACAGAGGACAGGAGAACAGAAGTTCTGTCTCAGCTTGGCCTTTTGTGCTCTTAGCTTGGGCTCTGTGTGGATAGGATGATGCCTGCCCAGATTAGTGAGATCCCAACTTCTTTACTCAACTGACCAGCAAGACTCCCGCTGACACCTGGAGATGATGCTTAGCACTATCTGGGTATAGGCCCTGCTGACATATATAACAACCATGGCCGCTGGGCAAAATGCCTATTGGCATCTCCAATAGGACATCTAAATGCCTCTGAAAGGAAATACCACAAGTCAAAAGAACTGCTCAACACTCTAACTTGGGAGAGCACAGCTAGGGCTTGTCATGGTCCCACAAGCATAAGGAAGATTCCATTGCTTTCTACCTGCAGGTCACAGTGTAAATCAAGCTGTAGCTTCCTGGTGAATGCGTACTTTCTAGACAAGTCTGAGGGTTTGTATCAAGTTTGCTAGACTGGTACTCATCTCCACTACAAGGCCCAAGGAACCTCTGGGCAAAGAAGAAACAAGGACATGACTTCAGGGACAGGAATATGGTAAACTAGGAGGCAGGACAGCAGTTCCATGGCTATGCCCATTGACAGAGTGAACACAATGGGGTAGTCAGTAGACTAGGGGAGAGTCTCTTTATCTACCTACACAGACCCACTTTATAATCGCCATTACTACCCTATCAGTAGTTTATTACCATGATCACCTAAAAACAACAACCACCCACATACACTCTCTTCTTTCCTTTTCACCTCTTGCAGCCTACCTTTCTCTGGGATCACTTTTCTTTGTCTTAAATACTTGCAAGTTTTCCTTAGCGAGGATTTGCTCTTTGGTTTTTATTTGTTAAGCATTCTTGTAAGCTGTTTCCCTAGGGGTGGAATGAAAGGCTGGCACCTCATTTTCGTCACTACTCTGAAGGCATCCTCATCATGGCTTTTTCAAAGCTATCACTCTGTTATTACCATAAAAGAAATTTACTTCCCTAATTCTGCCTACTCTCAAGAATTTTTTTTTTAAATCTTTCTAAAGTTACACAGACATGTCGGTTTAGAATTCTTTTTCCTAATCGTGCCTCAACTGTGTTGAGCTTCTGGCTTGGAATATTGTGCTGGAGGAATTATTCCTTGCACTCCTGCCTCTGCTTCATTCTTTAATTCTTTCTCTTTTCTTCTGACCCTATGAGTGGATGAACGTTCTAGCATATGATGAAATCTAGCCTACTCTTAGTCATTCCTAATGTCCTTCATTCTCTCTGTCTCCTTCAGGACAATTTATTTAGTTCCATGAATGCTTTCTCAACTGTGTCTAACGTGCTGTTAAACACAACACATCCAATCATTTTTGCAATTATAGTTTTCCATTTCTAGAAGTTCTGTTTTTTAGCACTGTTTACTTAAACTCTTTAATATAATATGCTTTGGTCATATTGTTTCCCCTCCCCCAACTCCTTCCAGATTCTCCCTCCCTAAGTCTTTGTATTTTTTCTCTTAAAAGATAAAATCAATCCAAAACAAATAAAAAAGCACACATAAAAGAACACAGTAATAACAATTAAAACCAAACCAATCAAACAAACGAAAACATGGAGTCCATTTTGTGTTGGCCAACTATTCCTTAGTATGCAGCTTGGCCTGTAGTGTGGTTTCTTACCCAGTGTCACTCCATTGAAGAAAACAGATTTTTCCTCTCCCAGCAACTATCAACTGCAAATATCTTTTTTACTAGGGTAGGACTTTGTGTCCACTTCCCCTTCTCTTTTTTAAGGATGGCTACTTGAGATGGAATCCATACCCTGACTTTTGGTTTGAACTCTTGATTGATTGATTGAATTTTTGAGACAGGGTTTCTCTGTAGCTTTGGAGTCTGTCCTGAAACTAGCTCTTGTAGACCAGGTTGGCCTCAAACTTACAGAGATCTGTCTGCCTCTGCTTCCCGAGTGCTGGGATTAAAGGTGTGCGCCACCACCGCCCAGGTCATACCCTGACTTTTAATGAGGCCAAGAACCTGAAGTTGGATAGATCATGGATCCTAGGGGAAAATCTACTATAATTATTCTGCTAAACGAACAGCAGTAAAATGGCTCTTAATGACATAGCGCCATACCCATACAATGCACTGCTGTACCTCATCAGAGAATCTGCTTCTTGCAGTAGATGGTAATCAACACAGAGAATCACATGGGGACAACATGCAGAGAATGAGGACCTTCGGCACAGTCAGCCCTAAGTGGGGTGGCAGATAACTTCAAGGAAACATCCCTTGCCATAGACAACAGAGCTGGTGCAGATATTCACCCACAGGCACTGTGACATGGTACAGAAGATCTGAACAAGCTCAAACCAGAATGCTTAGTTTTTATAGTTCCCTGTTTTTTGCCAATATTTCCCAATTTGATTTTCTTTTCCTCTCGACAATTACACCACTTTCTCCTTTACTAATCTGTGTCTGGCAACTGCAATGGCTAGTCTCTCTGAAGTCTAGCTTCTGTGGTCCACTACTCCTGTTTCTGCTATTTCCTGACACTAATGTTACTTACTTTTGACCATGTGCTAACTATTGTATAAAGAACTCTCCAAAGCATAGCATGAAAGTATGGTGATTTTTGTTTGTTGTTTGTTTGTTTTGAGATAGGATTTCTATGGCTGTCCTGGAATTAGTTCTTGTAGACCAGGCTGACCAGGAACTCACAAATATCTGCTTGCCTCTACCTCCTGAGTTGAGGGATAAAAGGCATGTGCCATCACCGTCTGACCGAAAGTGTATCTTTTTATAAAGAACTTATACTTCTTGCATGCTTGCCATGAACTGGCATCAAGTTTAATGTCCAAGCTTCCTAGGCCTCAATTCAATCTGTGAGGGCTCAGGTACTCTGGTTTCCTGTTCACCTTGAAGATGGAGTCTGTTGGGATCTCAGTTCATTACTCTCCAAGACAGGCAGGGCTGAGGGTTGACTTCCTTTTCCCTTTCCCTCCTTAGCCTATCAAAGCCAATTTCTAATCTGGGACACCAGCACATAGTCAGCCTAAAGACACAGTGGCTTTTGTCCTTGTGGTAGTTGCTTTTTCCATCACTGTGACAGAGTACCCGACTGAAGCCACTTAAGCGAGGCAAAGCAGATTTTGGACCACAGTTTCGGAGGGATTTCAGGCCATCACTGTGGGGAAGGTATGGCCCACTGGCTTGTGGGGGCACAGGGAACCGATCCTCACACTGTAGCTAGTCAGGAAATGGAAAAAGTTCAGAAGACCTGGGTAGAACTAGATATAACTTAAGGCCTACCTGGTGACCTATTTCCTCCAGCTTGGCCCCACATCCCAAAGGTTCTGCTAATAATAACATACAAATAATAACAATTCTTATTTATCTTTCTTGGCCTCCCTTGTTTTATTATAATCTCTCCCTGGTAATCCCCATTGTCATACCAACTCTCTGAAGGTTTCTAAGCATTACAATTATTGGAAACTAGGTTTTAGTGGTGGCCTACTGGAAACAGGAAGCCACACAATACCTTCCCTGTGCTAAGGAAACACGCAATAAATAATTGCACTAGCCAATCGTTTCGATTTCCTCAACCATGCTCCATTGCTTGCCTGTATTTACCTGCAAGGCTGTTTTTAACTTGAAGAATTCTCAGACCCTCTCCCCAGCCCAAGAATAACTCCCGTACTATTGTTTGACAAGATGCTAAACATATGCTACCTTTCCCCCAGATGGTTGCTTTTCCTTCTTTTCCAGACCCGAGAGTCATACCTTACTCATTTAGACCCTCACACATTGGCCTGTGCATCTCCTTCCCCGTGCCTAGCCACATAGGGGCTGCATTTATGTGATTCTTATCTCTCTGGTGGACATGTATTTGTCATTTCTGACTTCTGAAGAATTCCCTCACTTCCTGTCCAGATCAGCACACATCCTGCACAGCTTTCTGGAGAATCTGATATGCAGGGTTTCGCTCTGAATGCTTCGTCTGCTGTGACCCTGGGATGGAGTCTGTTCTTGCTGCTAACCCTTTACACTGTGGGTAGGCTGCTCTCATACGTACTAGTCCGTGGAAACTGGCAGCCTCTGGCTGCAGTGTCGTTCTCTCCACAAGTGTGTGAGAAACAGAGTACAGTAGGAACTAAACACAGGCAGAACGGGGTCACAGCTCCACAACCAGAACCCATGCCTTCACCCCAAGCCTTCCTCCTGGGCATCACCGTTCCTTCTCATGTGCCTGTGCCATTAATCATTTCTGCTACAGGGGCACCTGGGACTCTGTGGAAATTATCTGGCGCAGGGATGTATACGTGACACCTGAAAGTGGCCACAGACAGCAGGCGGGGCTAGGGGGAGGGGTGGCTGAAGGTGTCTCTGTGAGATTTCTTATAAACACTTTTCAGATGGCTTCTGTAGCTCAGGTTTGCTTACCTCACAACTTTGGTGCCATTTCTCACAACTTGCATGTCTACCATGCAGCCTCCGGTAACATAAGCAGCCAGGTTCAGCTCAGAGAACTCTGCCTGGAGGAGAAAGCAAAACAAACAAACAAAACGAGGCATCAAACACTACTAGGGTAGGATGTTTGTGTTTAATGTACACTTCTATTATTGTGCAGTGCACATTCAGGCTTCATCTCAAATTTAGCAATGGAATTTTTATCTCCCTTTGAAAAAGGAAGACGAGAGGCAGGTGATATGCTCAGGACCACGCAATGAGCACATCAGTTAGAATCCATGAGTTTCGGATTCAAGAGCCCACTGTCATAAGCACAACTCACTTCTGCCTCCCTGGAAGCAGCCACTCTAACTCTGACTAGAAGATGCCATTGTTAGCAGGCTGATTTCCCTAGAGCAGTCAGTCTTGTGTTAAGCTGTTTGTGAGCCCCACACCGCTGATTCTGTGACTCAAGTAACAGGGCTCCTCGAAATTATCTGCCCAATATCCCTCTCAATGGCCTCCTCCCTCACTCCACACATGTAGCTACAGTGGAAGCAATATGCCTGTGTCATTTTGATCACAGTTGACGGGTGGGCATCTGATACAGTGTGAGGGAATGACAGACTCCTATTCGAGAGGTTAAAACTACTGAGCAAGAGATATGGTGCTTTGAAAGAAAATGGCCCCCATTTCTTGCTCTAATTAATAACCTCATTATGTTGTGGCAAGGTGAAAAGAAAAGATGATTGCTAATGAGCCCACGTTGGTATACTGTGGTAATAACCTAGCTATTATGTCTGATGCCTTCCAAATTCAACTCCAGATTGCTCAAAAATACTTAATTGGCAACATCAAGGAGAATTTAAAAAAGCAAGTGCATGTGTGTGGCAGGGAAAGAAGTTAAAAGGAAGTTGCAAAACAAGAGAGCTGGTTATTAGATATGTGAAGAAAAGCACTGAACCGGGAGAGGTACAGATCCAAAAGTTGTCTTGCTGCCCAAAGGGAAAAAAAAATTCCTGGATATAAAAACTATTCAGGCTTTGATAGAAAAGTTAAGAGGTTGAATCTGTAGGTTCATCCCTTCACATGCTTCACACTGAATCCATCATAGATTCAGTGGATACTGGGGTGGGCCAACTCATAGTCCCGGTTCCGGGCCTGGGGGGTAGCTGGGTTAGTCAGCTTGCTAGTTTTCCCTCATCATCACTACCTGGACAAGCTCTCCAGAACTGCCTCAGCTAGTTCACCCAATGCACCTACACAAGGAGCAGGGCCAGTTTGCCTGTTCTTATGCCCTCAGATGCAGGCCACTCTCACTCATATTACTAGGTCTAGCTCTACTGTTTTGGCCTGGTTTGTGCAGGGCTCTCTCTCCTGATTGCTATAGGGAGCCTAAGAGGGGGATGGGCAGAGTCAGTTCTTCTGTTCTCAAGGCCTATCTATGGCTGGCTCACCTGTGACCCCGGCAACAGGGTCAGCTCTAGTGTACTGTCCAGAGTACAGAGGCCTGATCTCCTGTGTGTGTCCATGACACAGAACAACAACAGGATATCCATGAGGAGCCCTAGTGAAAGCCCATTATCAGTGGTGTAGCAGACACTAGAGGCCTCAAGTCAGACCAATGACTCATGGCAATGAATGCTTGCAAGTAAACATGAATGGACTAACGGGTAAACTGTGTATCTCATTGGGCCATACTTCAGCTTCCTTGACAAGATTCTTCTTCTTGTTTTTATTTTGTTTCTTTCTTTTGATTGGACATTGGGTTTTGTTTTAAATTTTGTTTTAATTTGGTGGGAGGTTTCAAGGGCAGAGGGCAGATTTGAGAAGGGAAGATAAGTGGGACTGGAATGCATGATGTGAAGTTCACAAAGAATTAATAACAGTTGAAAGAAAAAAGAAAGGAAGGAAGGAAAGATGGAAGGAAGAAAAGCTAGACGTTGGTCTTGTACAGATTTGCATGTCTAGACTTATTTCCCAGTCATGGATTATAAACAACTAGAGAAGGTTAATGCCTGCATCACAGCACAACAAGATTCTGCTAGAGTACACACAGAGTTTAGGAAGCAAAGAAAAAGGGAATTCCTTTGCATTTAACTCTCTAAAAACATCAACAGCAATGAAAATGAACACAGAGGTAGCCAAGCACCTCTCCATCAAAACGGCTCACTGGTCCTGTTGTAGGATCTAAGACAGTGGTCACCTTAGAATAATACCATTGTTCCCATAGAGATTGCAGTGGACCAGATGCTATTCCCCAGATAATATACCAAATCCTAATCCCTGGTACATGAAGGAACCCTTTTATGAAATAGATTTTTTTCCAAATGTAATTAAAGTGACTATTTGAAGAAATCATCTTGGAATTAGGTGAACCTGAATTCTAGTGACAATCAAATAGAAGGTAGAAGTCATGTGAAGATCAAGATAAACACCAGAATGATGAAGCCACAGGCAGAGATGGCCAGGAGAGATTGGTAGGTAGAGGGTATCAAGCAAGATTGTTCCCAAAGCTGAGGGCATGGGAGGGCCTGCTAAAATCTGAAGAAGACTATCTAACATCTAGATCTACAAGCTATGTTCTTTTAAGTCTCCCAGTTTGTGTTACTTTTCCATGGCAACCCTAGGAGACAAATAAAATAACTGAGAAATGAATATGATTTCAGCATAGCAGGCAAAGCCAGAGGAGACCTCCAGAGGTCAATGTGGTCAGTAGGCTGCTCTATCATCTCCACGAGACACTCGTGCATAGAAATATGTATAGTCTCTTTCTCCCTTTCTCTCTGCAATATAGCAATTACCCGTTTTGCAAACTTTAAGAGCAACTTAAAATTTCTGCATTAATGAACATTTTAATTTCAGTTTTTTCTTCAGTTGTCTTTTATGTGATTTAAAAAAATGCTATGGTTGAGGCCTTGTGGTACAGATTCATGTGTACTCAAACTACACGTGTATGTAAGCTACCCAATGTATTAGTCAATGAGTTTCATTAAGTCCTCTCTAAATACCAGCTTTAACACTTGTGAAATGGAGATAATATAAATAATATCTACCCCGAAGATTTTGTGATGGTTCAAATTTCTGAGACGATTAGCATGCAGCTGAGACACGGGGCTTCTGTGAGGAGCTGCAGTTAGGATTATCTCCAAGTACTTCATTGTTTTAGTAATTTGAATTGAAGGCGTCCAGAATGGTAGAACTGCTGGGTGTGGTGGTGCATATCCTTAATCTCAGCACACAGGAGGTAGAGGCAGGCAGATCCTTGTGTTTGGGGTCAGCCTGGTCTACAGAGCAAGTTCTAGGACAGCCAGAGCTACACTGAGAAACCTTTTCTCAAAAACCAAAACCAAATGGTAGAAGTAGAAAAGCAGCAATATCTTCAAGCATCTGTGTCACAGGAGATGTAAAATACAGAGAATGTGTAATGGTTCATCTTCATTGTCAACTTGACTGAATGTTGAATCCCTGAGAAGACACCCTTCTAGATGAGTCTTTGGTGTTATTTCTAAAGAGCTGTAACAGAGGATGGAAGACCTACCCTGAATGTGGGTGGAACCATCCCATTGGTTGGAGTCCTGGACTAAGCTGACTAGAGAAAATGAGTTCAGCACGGGCTTTCTCTTTTCTGCCTCCTGATCCGTCCAGACATGAGCAAAACAGCCTTGTGCTTCTGCTCTTACTGCCAAGGGCTTCTCCTTCCACCATGCCTTCTCACCATGATGAACTATGCCTTCATATCATAAACAAAAAATAAAACTCTTCCTTTCATTAGTTGCTTTTAGTCAGGTATTTGGCTAAGCTATGGGGAAAGCAACTAATAACAGACTTTGGCTCATGACTACAATAAACTACTCAAGACTCTATTTATAGTCCCATCTTATTCAAGAAGAGCAGACAAAATACATTTCAGTTTTCAGTCATCCTACAATAGGTATTTCAGGACTGGGGTTCCTGCAGAAGTGATGCAATTATCCCTATAATCATCCAAGATCACTGCTTGGAGAGCGTTTCCTGGGTATAAAGCAGCAGAGGAGAACTCACATTGAGTTCAGTTCATCAAGACTGAACCTCAGGAGAGCCACTGTGGATAGAATTTGCAGGCAGTATATAGAAAAATATGGAGCTACATAGAAAAAGAACTCCAAAAGGAGGGATCTGGAGGTCTGTGGCCAAGCACTGGTCTGACCCTGTGTAAAAGGAAATACACAAGGCTGGGGGATTAGGGAATGGGACAACACATTAAATATCAGTAGGCTCAACAGCCTGCAGAACCCACACAGGCCTAGGAACTGTTTGTGTGCTTGATGGTTACAGTGTAAAGACCTTGTGATAGGAATTAGATTCTCAAGATATAGCCGAAGAGCTGAGTCACTCCTGGACTAACCTGCTTTGGTGCTAGGGTAATGAACACTATGTCTCTAGTTTACATCTCTTTGATGATTAGAAGCACTGGGTACTTTTCTTGGTGCAAATCAGAACTTCAGATACACAATTTGGTGAGGTATCCAATCCAATCTTAGCTACGTTTGTATTTCTGTTTGTAACTATTATTAATTTGTCATATATATGTTAAGAACATTCTAATGTGAAAATTTTAAAATCAATAAATTATAATTCTATATAAACATATTATTGATGTATTTATCTGCACTTATCTTCTTTCATTCTATGTTGCATATTTTAACCTTCTGATTTTTTAATGTAAAACACATATACACACATACATATGCATAGTTTAACTTAATGACTTTTTTATAGTTAGCTTTTTCATTATTGTTAGTGCAAACCTTTGTATATCTGAAGAATATAAAGACATCCTGCAACATTTCTTACTAGAAGCTCTAGTTTTATATGTCATATTTAATCCTGTGATCCACATAGAATTAACTTTTATTATGACATGAAGGCTCAAGTTCTGACTTTTCCATTTGGTTAAGCAACATTTTGCCACCATTTGCTGAAATGCTCATTTTCGTTTTTTAAAACCTTTTCTCTCAATAGAATCACATTTGTACCTTTGTCAAACACCAAATTATTTCATTTGTGACCCTATACCTTTTTTTCTGTGGCAGTATGGGACACG